ATGAATGTCATCCCAGTTGTGATGGGAGGTGCTGATTACTCCAAGCTGGCTATTCCAGGGTCTTATATCAATGTTATGGACTTCAAAACTGTTAAACAACTGGCAGAGTACCTTCAGTATCTGGACAAAAATAACACTGCTTATAATGAATACTTTAAATGGAGACTAAAATACAAAGTGTTTCGAAGCAACCTTGATTTATCAATGTGTCAAATATGTAAATGGTATGTTGCAAAATCTCCGCTTGAACTGAAAGTTTATGGTGACCTTAGAACGCACTGGCTGAAGAAGGGACGATGTAATGAGAAAAGCCGTCTTATCCGAAATATGTGGAAAGACGAATGATTCCTCAGAGATGGTCATATGATATTACTACACGTTTACAGTTCTTTCAAATGCAAAGAAATGTAACAATCATGACATGCTTAGGTCAACTGGAGAACTGGTACTTTTAATTTAGATAAGACACTTTGTTGGTTATGTGACTTAGTCTGCTTCACGGCCGCTTTTTGTGTCGTCAAACAACGCTCCTCTCCACAGACGGGTCACGCTCAGCAGCCGTTTTGGGAGGGAGGAGCGTTGCGTGATGACACAAAGAACGGCTGTGAAGCAGACCCGTGCCACTTACTCTTCGCTTTTTTAATAGCACGGGCGTAACGAGTCAGGGGATAAGAGGCGACTGAATTCCCAGGGGAGTCTGCATCATGCCGAAAAGATAAAAGGCTACAGGTGCCCTGTGGCTCTGACCATGCGCATTGGCTCGGAAGTCGGAAGTCGGAAGTGAGAAGTGGGAAGTGGGAGGTGGAAAGTGGGAACTGGGAGGTCCGAAGGTCTAGCCATTGAGCTTTGAGTCTGAACGGTCAGAAATCAGAAATCCGGAGTTGACACTTTGTCAAGTCTGAAGTCTGAAGTTTGAAGTATGAAGTCTTTTAAGACTTCATACCTGGAGTCAAAAGTCAGAAGACTCTCCTCGGCTTTCGTACATACATGATAAATACATACACCCACACATACAAACATACACACACATTGTACATACATCTAGCCGGATTTTTTAAAACGTTATCGCCAAATGGACCTTTTGCGTCCAACAGTTTTTTTCGGCCAAAAATTACTCTCCAAAGTAGCCATCCTGAAAAAAAACAAGAATGCAACCATTGCCTTTTTTCTCTTCTCCACCTTTCCTTGTCCTCACTCTTTGCTTTTCTGCTTTCCTTTTCCTTCGTTATTGTGATTTTGGAGCTTTTCGGGCTTAAGAAACCTTACTTTTGACGCCTTTTCACTCAAATGACTGCAAATTTCGTTAGTTTGGTTTTCAAAAAGTCGGTTAGACATTGATCTGATTCATATTTATTAATTCTTAATCCTTAATCCTTAAGTGAAAAACACTATACCTACAGGCCCCTGTATCTACTAAATAATAAATAAATAAACAAATAATGCCTTTATTTAACGAGGGTAATACTAAATAGCCCAAGGCTAATAAACTTGTGGCCCTCATACTCTTGTATGTGTGTGTTTTTCTGAGTAGTGTAGGGAAAATTGGTCAAATTCCCCACTCCCCTGGCACAATTTTCAGTCTGACCAACACAACACAACACAAAACTTTAAAGTGATGGTCACAGGTCACTGTGTTCGACAAGTTTTACTTTCAATGCAAGTAAATCTTGGTGACAAATCTTTTGGCGTGTTAACCAGCCTTTTTAATTGGCCATTTCGGAGTTGCGGAAGGAACTGGGGTGATTTTCAATTTTTCTGTTAAACTGTAAAATTCGTCATGCATCTTCTACTTGGAAGGAACTTCTTCGAAAATCACTATGTTTGCCCCTTTTCAGGAATATCACAGAAATTGTGAAAAAAAAATTAAGAGTTTGTCACTTTTTTAACCTAAATGACAGCTCTCTCGGCCGTCATGTAAATGGTGCGTCACGCAAAAGCTTAGAAATTCAAGCGTACTCTATTACAAAACCAAGAACCCTTTTGAAGCCAAAATTTGTTCGAAAACCAGTTTTCAGCTGCTCTAATACACCATGAAAGTAAAATCTCAGTAGGGTCAATAGTTTTGTAGTTTGACTTTTAGTGACGTCATCTGAAAACCAACTATACGAAAGGGGTACCTTTCCTCTCAAAAATTCCCCTATAAAAGGGACAAGGGCTGGATCTATCTATCCTCCAAGTAACAAACAAAAACCTGTCGGCAAAACCTACAGACCTAAAAATGATATTTTCTGCCTTTTAATAGCATATAGTTTTCCTTTTTTATATCTTATAATATACTTCGAATGCGCTCATGGACATGGTGGAGATTCTATTTTCGCGGGGAAAAGTGCCCTAAAATGTGTCTAAAAATAAACTGGTCCGTAAAAACGCCGTGACATAGGCCTAGTATGGGAGTTACTCGCTCCGGGTTATGGGCTCCTGAATTGTGGCATTTTGAAATACTTGCTAGCCTAAAAGTTTTTCTAATTTCCTGTTTTCCTGATTCTGTAAGTGTTTTCTTCTCTAATTGGCAATATTATGACTGAAATGAACTTCTGCCTGCGGGCCATGATACAGGCCCTCTAACTGGAACAGATTTCTGGGACGGTCATCAGAAGGTGACCGCTTAATACAGGTGCACAGCATTGGTAAATAGCATTTGGGCCATGGGCGTCTACCATTTAAGAGGGTCTGAAGGGGGGTTCATCGATAACACTAAACACTTCATTTTTTGGCTTTCTAACATAAAACAGTTAAATTTTGGGCATTTTAACACTAACAGTAAAACATTCTTTCAAACAGTAAATTTTTTCCAGAAAGAAGAAAAAACGTCTCTAAAAAGGCCAATATTATTTTGTTTAGTTTTTCAAGGAGTTTTCGGCCATTTTAGGACAATTTATTTCAGATTTCCGAAGACTGCCGAACATTTTCGAAGACTAACGAAGAGGTCCGACCATTGCCGAAGATATCCGAAGAACCCTCCAAACACTTAACAGTACTTTCTTCGGAAACAGCAAACATTAAAAACTTGACCAATTTAACTGCAAACACTAAAACCCCATTCAGACCCTCTTTAAATATTGCACAGTTTGGTACTTTTCAGATCATGATTAGATCTTTTCTTTATTCCAGGTGATATGAATGTCATCCCAGTTGTGATGGGAGGTGCTGATTACTCCAAGCTGGCTATTCCAGGGTCTTATATCAATGTTATGGACTTCAAAACTGTTAAACAACTGGCAGAGTACCTTCAGTATCTGGACAAAAATAACACTGCTTATAATGAATACTTTAAATGGAGACTAAAATACAAAGTGTTTCGAAGCAACCTTGATTTATCAATGTGTCAAATATGTAAATGGTATGTTGCAAAATCTCCGCTTGAACTGAAAGTTTATGGTGACCTTAGAACGCACTGGCTGAAGAAGGGACGATGTAATGAGAAAAGCCGTCTTATCCGAAATATGTGGAAAGACGAATGATTCCTCAGAGATGGTCATATGATATTACTACACGTTTACAGTTCTTTCAAATGCAAAGAAATGTAACAATCATGACATGCTTAGGTCAACTGGAGAACTGGTACTTTTAATTTAGATAAGACACTTTGTTGGTTATGTGACTTAGTCTGCTTCACGGCCGCTTTTTGTGTCGTCAAACAACGCTCCTCTCCACAGACGGGTCACGCTCAGCAGCCGTTTTGGGAGGGAGGAGCGTTGCGTGATGACACAAAGAACGGCTGTGAAGCAGACCCGTGCCACTTACTCTTCGCTTTTTTAATAGCACGGGCGTAACGAGTCAGGGGATAAGAGGCGACTGAATTCCCAGGGGAGTCTGCATCATGCCGAAAAGATAAAAGGCTACAGGTGCCCTGTGGCTCTGACCATGCGCATTGGCTCGGAAGTCGGAAGTCGGAAGTGAGAAGTGGGAAGTGGGAGGTGGAAAGTGGGAACTGGGAGGTCCGAAGGTCTAGCCATTGAGCTTTGAGTCTGAACGGTCAGAAATCAGAAATCCGGAGTTGACACTTTGTCAAGTCTGAAGTCTGAAGTTTGAAGTATGAAGTCTTTTAAGACTTCATACCTGGAGTCAAAAGTCAGAAGACTCTCCTCGGCTTTCGTACATACATGATAAATACATACACCCACACATACAAACATACACACACATTGTACATACATCTAGCCGGATTTTTTAAAACGTTATCGCCAAATGGACCTTTTGCGTCCAACAGTTTTTTTCGGCCAAAAATTACTCTCCAGAGTAGCCATCCTGAAAAAAAACAAGAATGCAACCATTGCTTTTTTCTCTTCTCCACCTTTCCTTCTCCTCACTCTTTGCTTTTCTGCTTTCCTTTTCCTTCGTTATTGTGATTTTGGAGCTTTTCGGGCTTACGAAGCCTTACTTTTGACGCCTTTTCACTCAAATGACTGCAAATTTCGTTAGTTTGGTTTTCAAAAAGTCGGTTAGACATTGATCTGATTCATATTTATTAATTCTTAATCCTTAATCCTTAAGTGAAAAACACTATACCTACAGGCCCCTGTATCTACTAAATAATAAATAAATAAACAAATAATGCCTTTATTTAACGAGGTAATACTAAATAGCCCAAGGCTAATAAACTTGTGGCCCTCATACTCTTGTATGTGTGTGTTTTTCTGAGTAGTGTAGGGAAAATTGGTCAAATTCCCCACTCCCCTGGCACAATTTTCAGTCTGACCAACACAACACAACACAAAACTTTAAAGTGATGGTCACAGGTCACTGTGTTCGACAAGTTTTACTTTCAATGCAAGTAAATCTTGGTGACAAATCTTTTGGCGTGTTAACCAGCCTTTTTAATTGGCCATTTCGGAGTTGCGGAAGGAACTGGGGTGATTTTCAATTTTTCTGTTAAACTGTAAAATTCGTCATGCATCTTCTACTTGGAAGGAACTTCTTCGAAAATCACTATGTTTGCCCCTTTTCAGGAATATCACAGAAATTGTGAAAAAAAAATTAAGAGTTTATATGGTTTGGGGGGACGCTGTAACAAAATTACAGACGTTTGTATGGATTTTTAACCATATTTCAAGAGTTAAAACTTGATCCCTGTTCAACCTTAGAGCACCAAGCTTGACCAAATAACCAATCTCAACATGACCTTTTATTTGGTGGTGTCAGTTTATCGATTAGTTTAAATTTGAAACTCGCCCCAATTCCCTACACAACTCCGAAATGGCCAATTTAAAAGGCTGGTTTACATGCCATCAGATTTGTCACCAAGATTTAAGCCCAGTTCAGACGTCGTGCTTCTGCCGTGCCGAACTTACTTGTAATTTGGTTCGACTGTAGCACGGCAGGAAAACAACTTTGATTCAGACGTCGTGCCAGAGTCGAACCAAATTCAGGATTTACTGATGCCTCGTAACAATTCTTCTCCCAACTCCCCGTGGGAAGGCAATCTTGCCTAAATACATTAATATAATTTATGAATTTTGTTTAGCGCGGTAGAAGAACGACGTTTGAATCGCTGTCGTGCCAGAGCCGTGTAGCACAGCAATGTTGTGAAACTTAATTGCTTGCCGAACTTAATTCAAAAGTTTGATTCAGACGCAGTGCTTCTGCCGTGCTTTTGTCGAACTTAATTCCTGAATTTAGTTCGGCACGGCAGAAGCACGACGTCTGAACTGGGCCTTACAGGTCGAACACAAAAAATCCGGCCTGATTTCTTATTTTGGACTCCCTTTTAGACAGAGGAATGCAACGTGTAAATTTTTGGTTGCCACTGAGGACTATAGTGTATTGCATAAAATTATATTTCAGGGCTGTCCAATTGTCCATAGTCTCTCCAACGCAGTGGTTGGAGAGACTATGAATCAACCTTATAAAATAAAGGAGGTGTAGGTGGGCGACTGGGTTACTTTGTTTGGGAAGAATTTGTTTTCCAGGCCTAATCTACTGTAATGGAAGATGATTGAAGTCTGTACACAGACGTTGTTTTTTTTTTCTTTTCGTCCTTTTGGAAAACATCGGTGAGCGAGCGCGGAGCGCGAGAAAGAAAAATATTTTGTTCTTCCCCCACCCCAACCCCTTTGCGCCGGCGGTCAATAAATCCCCTGCGGTTTATTTTTTATCACACGTGCTCGACAGACTTTGAAGAGCAAATAGAGGGTTTGTGAACAGGCTAAGACGATTGTTATTTTAGGGTGTACTTGTAAGACTATTAATTTGATGTAAAACTGATTTGTTTGACTCTTGGACTGTCAAATTATTTTTCTCTAAAAGCAGCTAGCCTTTCCCTTAAAAGTCACATGAAGTGTGCCCTAAAGTTAATTGATTTGTGGATTACAAGTTTATTGTTTGATTTAAATTATAAATTTTTTAACGGGAGCTTCGCTTTTAGCCCTGGCTAAATCCATATATTAGGAAATTAACGCTGTATGAAATTAAGGTATTGGAAATTAACGCGACTTAAATCAACGCGAATTTTTAAATGGAAAACGACTTTCGAAAAAAGAAAATTTCATAATAAAGGAAATTAACGCGATTAAGACACCGTTGGTGGTGACAACTGGAACAAATTTATTTCAACACTGGCTGCAAAAATATTCAAAACTGAACTGACATCACTTCTGACAGCGACAACGCCCGGGCGACAACGATGAAGATGAACTTGAAATATTGTAAACCTTCGCCTAAGCTTTTGTGAAAGATGAAAAATATAGGGTAAATGTAAAGAAAGAAAGCTGGTAGTTAATGTTTTTTAGGTGTCAAGAATGTCTGGACAGGTTTCAAAATTGGGGTTAAAATACTGGAAATTAAAAGCGCGGAAATTAACGCTGCACTTAATTAACGTCGCGGAAATTAACGCTCAACAAAATTAACGCGACTTAAATAACGATTCGCGTTAATTTCATGGAGTGTTAGTTTCCTATAATATAAACCTCTGAAACTCACGAGTGACGTAAAACAATGAAAACAAAGAAGCCACTTTTCAAGCTTTTGTTTAAAAGAGGCGGGTAAAGGGGTTATTGCGCGATACGTGATTAAATGTTTTTAATTTCGTGAAAGGGAAAATACGAAATTAAAATCCGTGAACTGTGACTGGTTTGCTTGTCGTGATACGTGAACTTTAAAATCTTTACCCGATATTCGTGATTTTCAACTAATTTTTTCGTGAAATAGTCTCAACTGAAGACAAATTCTACAGGGACCTTCACATGAACTTTTCTGAAAGGTCTTAAAAAACTCGATGGCTGGTTATTTAAACGAAGTTTAGCAAGAGGTTGACAAACCGTGTTCTAAACCATTTTCAATTTTTTCAAAGCTTTTATCTTAACACCGGTTATAGTGAACGTTTCATGGCAGCAACAGGGTAGACTAGGGTCGTATAAAATGGGGACAAGATGGTTAGAATATTCTTTCTTTTTCTCCTCTGGACTCATTATTTTCCTTCTCGTCGTGCTAACTTTTGACGACATCCACCTAGGTAAGTTTTCAAGGCGGACAATGAAATCGTCGTTGCAAGTAAACAACACA